AAAAATAGAAATGATTTCATAACGGCACTGGTTACATTGGGGTATTCCATTTGTGAAAAGTAATCTAGCAATGTAATTATATGCGGAGTATTTCTCGTATTTGTGCTTTACTTTAGAAAAACTTAAAATTAATGAAATGAAGAAAGAGATAAAAGTGATTCAAGAAAAAGTTGGTTTCAATCCTTCATGCAAGAAGACCATGGCTTGCATCCACATTCTAGAGAAACTCTTCTCATAAGTGCCTCCAAAGACTGTCTAGATCCAATGACCACTTTGACCCTGTGCGACTTCTGACATTAGAAATCACTCCCTCACTCCATGCTGTCTCATTCTCTTGTTTTCCTCCTAACCCTCCTTGTCACTCTTTAGTAATCTCCTTTGTTTTTCTTCCTCTGCCAGCCTCTCAAATATTGGTGTTCCTTGGCTCCACATTTAGTTATTTTATTTTTATTCAAATTCTTCTCCTACGCAATAACATGATTCCTGAAGATTTTGTCTTACACACACACACACACACACACACACACACACACACACACACACACACACACACACGGTAAATTGTTAAATCTGCATTTCTAGCTCGGATCTTGCTCCTGATATCCAACTGTTAATGTGATATCTCCATTAAATAGCCTATGGTTCCCTTCCCTGACAAACTTGCTCTCCACCCAGCCCTCCTTATGTCAAGAAGGTAAGTGGTCTTATCCTCTCATTTGATAAATAATTTTTCTCTATCTGCTATCCTAAGAAAAATCTGTCAACACCCCCACACTTTTTATATCCTTCCCCATATTTCTTTCTTTTCCTATCTATTCAATTTCTTGATTAAATAGGCAATATTACTGCCTTTATTTTGTCACTATGAAGTCACTTCTTAATGTCCTATCTAATTACTCACCCCTTACCAAAACTGGCCTCTCTGTAGCATTGACGATATTGCATATCATTTCAATTTTTTTTTCCTTTTAGAAGTGTGATTCTTATTTGCACTAACCCAATTTGTTTTCTACCAAATCTCTCTCTGTCTGCTCATTTTCTGTTTACACTGATATTCCCTGGACATTCTACTGGCACCTAAATAATGGCATTTTCCAAGTAATTTTGATAAAGTGAGAGAAAGAGAAGGAAAGTGAGAGAAGGAACAAGACAGGGGATAAGGAGAGAGAGAGAGAAAGAGAAAGAGAAACTCCTTCAGAGGAGACTCACCCTTCCCCAGGGTTCAATAATTCAATCTATTCTGATAACACCCTCTTCTAGCACCAGCTTAATATTTTAAATAACTATAAATCAAAATTAAAAAGCCAAAACTGAGAAATACTAAGCATTTGTTATGATCTCACAGAAACCTCTGGGCCATAGCTCCCTCTTGCTTTTTAAAGACTTGGTATTTCTTCCCAATGAGCAAAACATAAAATTGGAAATGTTTTTTAATTCTCTTTCATGTGCAACATTTGATAAGTGCTAAGTTATATAAACTCTCCTGCTGAGCAGCTTCTCACTTCAGTTCCACACTTCCTTTTCTTTGCTATTCCAACAACACTGTTAAATACCTTCATGATCTCTCCTAAAACCTCTTGTTTATAGCCTTCTTGAATTTCTCTGCCTTTCATCTCTCCCTGCTTGAATCAATCCTAAATATTATTAATGTCATGTCAATCAAATACTGCGTTCAAAACTCCTTCACGGTCTCCACACTGCCTTTAGAAATAACTGCAGAATGCCAGTGTCTAGTATTAAAATTCCCCACCAATTTGTCCCAGCTTTATCTCCTGCTGTTCTCCAACCAACTAGACAAATGTCTGCAAACCACTCTCATACATGCCTGCCTCTGAGCTTTTAATCAAAATATTTTCCTTGCCTATAATGATTTGTAACTTTTCATTCCCTCATATAAAATTGCATCAAGCCTCCAAATGGTGTTTTGGGAATAAATCTCTTACTGCTCTCATTATCATACGGCCACAAATTTCTCTTATAACATTTACATAATTTTAAAAAGTACATATCGTCTTTGATATCTAGATAATTACTTGAGATATTTCAATTGTATTCAAATATTTGAATATGTTTAAAGCAATATTTAATCATATTCAAAAATTCTAATAAGACTCAAATATTTCAATCGTATTTAGTACTTAGATAATTATGTGAGATAAAAATGTTAAGTATCATGCATGTTTTACATAAGTTGAATTACATAACTTTCCAGTTCTGTTAATGATAACATAGCTAGCAAAAAAATAAATAAATAAATAATCAACTGTTTAAAGGCGCTGGAGATCAGTTAAGAACAGACAAGACTGGACAGTTTTTCACTTGAGGAACCTCCTAACTCATTTGAAGAGGAATGGCTAGAACTTGAGCAGAAAGCTAGAGACTTACTAGCTTGGAAAATCACAGAGCAGAGATTAAAAGTATCAGATTGGCTGAAAAGGGAGTGGAGCTATCTAGCAACTGAGGTAAGCGCCCTGAAATCTATGCAAAAATTATCTTCGAGATCCTTGGCTGACACCTGTATTGCACATGCAAGGAGACCATGAAAAGCAGTGGCTAGAAAGTTGAAAAGGTTGGCTGTTGCTCACTGCAAAGAAGTTTTAAGTGTGAGTCCAGCCAACTAAACTACCTTCTAGAGCAAAAGATGATATATTTCAGAATCTTGGAAGTATATAATCTATACTGTCCAGCATACAATAAAAGTAACCGGACCTCCAACAAAACAAAAAAATATGATCCATAGTCATAAGAAAAAAGCAGTCAAGGCAGTTGACATTCAGATGATCCAGATATTAGAATTAGCATGTAAAGATTTTAAAACAATTGTTTAAAATGTTTAAAGATTTAAATAAAAAAATATAGTCATAATGAATAAAAATATGGGGAAATAGTACAGAAATGGTAACTATAAAAAACGAAAGGTCTAGGACTGAAAACTACTATCTATATATGGAACATTAATGGGATGAACTTAAAGAGCATATTGGTGATGTTAGAAGAAAGGGATAGTGAATTTGAAAATAAATAGAATTTATATAACTTGAAAACAGAGGGAAAAAAGATTCAATAACAATGAACTGAGTCTTAGTGATCTGTGGGGCAATATTTATAAGTCTAACAAATACTTATATATGCAAGGGTACTTCAAAAACTTCACGGAAAATAGAATTAAAAGATAATAGGAATCTTTCCATTAACTTTTTGAAGTACTCTCATACATTGGAATTCCCCAAGGGAGAGAAGTGAGTGAATGAAGCAATAATATTATTTAAATAAATAATGAGCACACATTTGCTGGATTAGATACAAAACATAAACTTATGTATCCAAGAATCTCAGCATCCTAAGAAATATAGATACTGTAGATACTGGTCTCCCCTCTCTCCATCTCTACATGCACTGAGGCATACTATAAAAAAAACTGCTGAAAAAGCAAACATAAAGATAAAATCTTGAAAGATAAAGCAATTGCAAACAGGGTACCATCAATATGAATGAAACATTAATTTACATTAGAAAAGTTTAGGAGACAATAAAGCACTTCTTAAATGCTAAAAGGAAAAAAATAAAAATAAAAAACTTTATTAACCTGGAATTCTATATACAGGGAAAAATATACTTTAAAAATAAAGGTGAAATAAAGGCATTTTCAGATAAATGAAAACTGAAAGAGTTAGCTGCTAGCAGATCTGCACCACAAGATATATATATTCTGACTCTGAGTGTGTGTGTGTGTGTGTTTATAAATATATATGTATACTTTGTATATTGGTATTCATGAATATATTTTAACTTTGCAAGGCTTGATTTGCCTTCTACATCTCTGTCTAAATTTCTCCTACTATATCATATGCATTGTTTCTTTAAAATGATTCAATAAATACATTATGATGTATTTGTGTATGCTACTTAACTTTAATCTAGAACTGGGGTGGTTAGTTAAAATTTAAAATATACTTACCAAAAATCTTCCCTGTAAGATTAATTATCAGCTGAAGGGCCTCAATCAGGGGAACTCTCCAGAGGCAGCTATTAAGCACTTCAAATATTGCTAATTATATTTGCACCTGAGTGTTAACTCGTATAAAGAATATCAGAAATAATTTTTTTGTGGTGAAGTGAATGGTGTTCTTTACATGTGGTCGCTGGAAATATTTTGTAGTCAATGCTGCCCATTTATAAATGAGTTATAATAACAAAGCATGTATCTGCTTAACTACAGAATATCTAGACTTTTATTTTATCTGTACCCCACCTTAATGTAGGTTCTGCCTTTCCACCTAAATGAAAGGTAACAGATCCTGACATCAGAATATTGTTTCATATGCTTCAGGATGACATTGTGATGTAAAGTTCTTCAAAATGTATGTAAAACAAGTGAGAATTGAGAGTTTACCCAATTTGTAGGAACAGGTCATATGGCTGATCTTTGAGCCTGCTTGCTGTTAAATACTATGTGTGTGGCACAATTCAGTTGGGATTTGCCTTCATTGTACCATATCACCTAGCAGTGAGGTCATCCATTAATATTATCTAAAGTCAGTTTGAAACCTTCCCCCTCACCTCGCCTAGCTGGGAAAAAGTAATTGCAAAATCAAAAAGTCTCTGCATGTCTTTTCTAAAATACTATATGTTGTATATATTTATATAAATTATATATATGTATATGTATGTACGTATATTGCAGTTTCATCATTAAATAAATTTAAAAAATATAAACAATAGAGAACACAATTTGATATTAAGATTTTTTTTTAAGTGGGCAAATTAACAAAATAAAATTGTTTGGTGAACGAATACATAGTTAATCAGTTCACAGATTTTATAGCTGACAAGGATTTTAAAGGCCCAGACAGCATTCTCATGCCTCAAGCAAACATAATCAGTATATCACAAATCACAAATGCTTTTATCTTTCTTGGGAAGAAATGCCACAATTTCTTTCAAAACAAAGTTGTCTTAAGCATTCCTTTCATTGATAGCAATGAATGGAATTATCTTACCTCCAAGTGGTATCCAACTCTGATGAAGGCACAAAGTGGGTCAAAGGCCCCAGTACCACATGTCAGAAGGTGTGTCCTATTATAATGATGCAAAACCCGAACATAATTTGCACATTCACTCTAAAGCAGAGAAAAGGAAGAAATTGTTTAGTGTAATAAAAATATTTTGCCCATTTTTGCTTTTGTTTTTCCTAGCCCTAGAAATCTTGTTTTAGCATAAGTCTCCCTTGGGTGGAGGAGACAGGAAGGGTAGATGAAAAGAGGACAAGAACCTAGGAAAGAAAAAATTAGGCTGACTGACACACATTTTAGTCATCAGTGATGTGTGATTTACATTTTATAATGGGAGTGTATCAGTTTTCATGTATTCTAGTTCACGATTGAGCAATAAAAAATCACTGTTCAGAAATTTATTTAATTGTAAAGATTTGCATGGCAATATGTTCCACTAAGTAATTAAGTTATTTTCAATGTTGTTAATTTTTTAAGTATTATATAAACAATGAATCAGCATAAAGTCAGAAAACCAATAATTAAAAAGCTTCATTATTCATAAGGAAAGAAATGCAGACATGGGAGCATTACAGAATTTTGACATTTGGGACAATAATTCTTATATTCTCAAATTCAGTAAAGAACTTTCAGAAAGAATTTTCAAGTAAATAGATAAAAAGCTAAGCAATAAAAATAACGTTTTGTTATAAGGTTACTGTTACTGTAAGATTGCAGTCCAAGGATGAGCAAACATATTCTGTAAAGGACCAGATTGTGAATATATTTACTTTGGTAGGCCATTTAGTCTCTATTGCTAGATGGCAACTACTTACCTCTGCAGCTATAGTATGAAAACAGCCATAAGCAGTATAAAAATTAATGTGTATGGCTGTGTTCCAATAAAACTTTATTTACAAAAAAAAAAAGAAAAAAAAATGGCTACAAGCCAAATTTGGCTGAGGAGCTCTAGATTGCCAAAACTGGTATTCAACTACAAGCTTATTGAGAAGAGAATCTTTATTTTATACATTTTTTCATTTTCCAGTTAATGAAACATATACTTAACACATACTGCATGCTTAAAAACAATTTGAACACATGAACTACTAGGTGAGTTTTATGATTAATATGCTGAATGAAAAAAAAAAGTTTAAAATTGTTTCAAAACCAACTTGGCTAAATAAATTCTAGCAAACGTCCTCTTGGCAAATTAGGTGTTGCTATTCCATTAAAAATAAATTATGAAATCCATGCTAAATTCTCTTAATTCCAAATATTACTCTGAAATCAATACATGCAATAATCATAGCTGTAATGTTTTATAAGGGCAGATTGTGATTTCAACATTTTAAATTTTTTTATATAACTTTATTAAGATGAAAAGGCCAGCAAAACCACTTCACCATAAGTGACTCAGATGGTAGCATGTCCTTGGCGAAGAGAAAGAATGCACTACTGAACTGATTATCCACGGCACACGGATACACTTGTATTTATTTCTTCAATTTCCTACTCATGTAACGTTCTGTAGGTGGCCCACACAGTAGGCAGAATCTAATCATTCAGGCATGGTGAAAATATTCTGTTCTCATACTCCTACATGCACTGACTTTTTCTCTCTTGATACACTGTCACATCTTGGAATGAACCAATTAGACCACATTTTGGCTCAGTTGAGCTTAGATTGACATGGCCTAAGAGTATGTTCAATTAGTCTGCATCATGCTGTGGGCTAAGGCAGCAAGAATGTGTTGACTCATTCTTTGGCTGTGGCCCAGTTGCTACAGAGAATCAGGAGTTGGTACAATGGGCGTTAGTTTTTCACATTTTTTTTCTTACTGAAAAAAAGGATAAGTTCTCTTTCAAAGGGTGATATGCAGACCTTCCTGCAAGATGTGTATTGTGTCATCAGAGCAGCCAGCTGCTCCTAGCATGAGAAAGTCCCTTTGGTCATATTTTAGCATTGGTAGGGAGTGGGTCAGGGCTGCTGCTGCTGCACAGCATTCTCCTACTCACTGCAGGGAAGCTAGGACAAAATGGAATGTTGCTTCTTTAAGTGGGAGAGATTCTAAAAACATTTTGGAATAGGCAAAGCATGGTTATTGCCTTTTGTCCTAACTTTTTGTTCTCCTCCTTTTGTTTCTTTGTTTCTAATCTACTAATCAACATGAAGTGTAATCTCACAAAGAATGTGCTCAGCTTTTCTTTGAATTAAAAAAAAAAACTACCTGCAATTATTTTTTTCCCAGATACATAGGAAATAAGCATTTGTATAGCAATTTATAAATCCAAATTGATTAAAATATAAGAAAACAAAGTAAAAACCAAGATCTGGATGGCACTTTGACCCCCTTTAAGACTACATTGAAATCAATTTTTATATAATTATATATGTATATATTATATGGATATGTATGTATTTTTTATTTCATGAATTAAATTGCATATATGCTTTTTAAGAGCAAATAAGTTTAGCGATTCAGTCTTTTGTGGTTGACCAGGGATATAACTGATGATTTGCTTAATTTACAATGAATAGTACTTACTGCATCTTTTCCTTTCATTACACATTCTTCTATTTTCAGTGCTGGACTAGGCCAGTGTATCTGAAATAAAAGATAATGTACTATTATGGCAACTGCATATAAAAATAAACCACACTGAAAAACCATTTCATTTTCTTCTACAATTCAATACACTTCTACTTTGTTCTATTTTCCCAGAAGATAAAATAAGATTTTGCCTTGTTCATGTAATTATTTTCATAATTAAGAAACATTTCTGAGATTATACTTCATTTTAAACCTTATTATTATTATTATTTATTATAATCTTATTGAAGGCTTGTCTCAAACCTCAGCCCTGGAGACCAGTCACACTTTTTACCCAGCCCTTACCCGTGTTTCACCTGCTGTTTCACCTGCTGCGGCCTCAGCCTTCCAGTCTTCTCTACTTGACTCTCTGCCCCTCCAATTCAGGCCCTTCCTTGAGTTCCCTCTATATTTTTACCACTTAGCACAGAGCTTGGATAAAGGACTCTTTAAATGCTGATTTAGAATGTATCCACCACATTACATCTTTGATTATTTTTTTAAAACGTTGTTTGAGTCTACTGGTTTTCAACAGGATTTCAGGAAGTTTCCAATATATTTCAAGTTTGCCAGTTTCTTCCTTGAAGAGAGAGAATATGTCAAATACTTCTTTTCACTTCTGATACTACCTAGCACTTTGCTGAGACGATAGGCAGAAAGAAATCAATAGGTACTTGTTAACAGGTTCCACAAATGACTGACTGTAAAACTTATTTATGAAAGAAACTCCTTATCATTCTCTCTTCATTTTTCAGATTTTTTTGTTTCTCTTTTTTGTTTTATTTATTTATTTTTAAATTTTATTTTGTTGATATACAATGTGGTTGATTATTGTGGCCCATTACCAAAACCTCCCTCCTGCCTCCCTCCCCCACTCCCTCCCAACAATGTCCTTTCTGTTCACTTGTCGTGTCAATTTCAAGGAATTGTAATTGTTATGTCTTCCTCTCCCCCCCCCTCTGACTGGTTTCACTTAATATAATTTTCTCTAGGTCCATCCATGTTGTTGCAAATGGCAGTATTTCATTCGTTTTTATAGCTGAGTAGTATTCCATTGTGTAGATGTACCACATTTTCCGTATCCACTCATCTGATGATGGACATTTGGGCTGGTTCCAACTGTTGGCTATTGTAAAGAGTGCTGTAATGAACATTGGGGAACAGGTATACCTTCTAATTGATGATTTCCATTCCTCTGGGTATATTCCCAGCAGTGGGATAGCTGGGTCATATGGTAGATCTATCTGCAATTGTTTGAGGAACCTCCATACCATTTTCCATAGAGGCTGCACCATTTTGCAGTCCCACCAACAATGTATGAGTGCCTTTTTCTCCACAACCTCACCAGCATTTACCGTTCAGAGTCTTTTGGATTTTAGCCATCCTAACTGGGATGAGATAGTATCTCAGTGTAGTTTTGATTTGCATTTCCCGGATGCTGAGTGGTGTTGAGCATGTTTTCATATGTCTGTTTGCCATTTGTATATCATCCTTAGAGAAATGCCTACTTGTTTCTCTTTTTACTCAAACTGTAGAATTGATCATACTTTGTGCCAAGTACTGTGCTAAGAACCAAATTTTACTTTTTTCTTTCTTTTGCTTTATAAACTTGTGCAGAAGTTTGAGATCATTGTACTTACTAATCAATTCATGGCTCATTTTCATCACTGGTCTTGAAAGATGTCTCTTTTAATTACCAATATACTTCCTTCCCTCTTTCACCTCTATGTTCTATTTACATCCCTCTCAGGAAGCAACCATTGTATCCTGTTACTGGGTACTTTTTTGTTTGTTTGTATATATTCTTATAAAGTGCATACTATTGCTTTCTGTGCATATATTTCTAATTTATGTAAAGGTTGATAAGTTTTATATATCATTTCTTATTGTCTTTTTCACTAAGAACTGGGTTTTTAAGATGCCTCCATAGTCCTATCTACACATCTAGACTGTTGATTCCAATTGCTTTGTAATGTACTGGGCACATCCATCACTTTTTTTTTTTTTTAAATCTATTCTCCCAGCAATGGATGCCCACATTACCTCTAAATCTTCTCCACCACATCCAGCATTGTTACCTCCCTGTACATGCCTCTTTGGAATCTGTGTGAGAATACCATTGGTGTAGATAACAAGGAGCAAAATTACTGAGTCTTAGGGTAAGCAAATATTGAATCTGTGAATGTAGTACCAGACTGCTCTCCAAAATGGCAGCATGTCTCTACCAGCAATTCAATGTCCTCATGTCTAATTTTTGTGCTAAGTACTTTAAATGCAATACCTAAATTTATCCTTACCTCTACTTTATCAAAGAGGTGGCATTATCTATGGAGTTTCTTTTTTAAAAAAGCATGTGGCTTTGTTCAAATGCACAAGAGATAGATCTCTGGGTGGAAACCAATGAACATGACCCATTTGAATAACTGCAGCAACTGAAAAGTTTCGAAATGTTTCCTGTGCCCTAAGAGCTTCAGCCTCCTAGTTAAGAGTTTATCTCCATATCTGCTGGATCAAAACTGACAAAGCTCAGTCAGCTTTTTCTGAAAAGACCCCCTTTCTTATGTCTCCCTCAGAATTCCATGGGGGCACCATCTCACACTTAAAGTATCATCTCACACTATAGTACCATCTTCAAGGGCTTCACTGGTCAGTTGATAATTAATTCTATCTTTGAGGGAGATCGGCTTTCACCAGAACACCCTGTACTTTTTTCTTCATTGCCTCCAAAGGCTTGCACCTTGGATCCTTATGCACGGTTCTACAGAACTTCTAAGATGTTCTTTCCTCTTGTCCTACTTTTACGGCTGCTTTGAACAAGGCTTCCTCAAAATTTCTTTAGTTCCCTTCCTTTTGTAGGTAACCTCCCTCCATTGTCAGCTTAGTATTTTGGTGAAGAAAAAGAAATTTCCCAACCAAGTAGCCCTGGCCTCTCAAGATATTATTAATAGTTTTACAAATAGCCTCTTCCTCCTCAGGATGTTTAAGACTCCTCAGGAGCTGTGGTTGAGAAGGATTCAGATAAAAGCTCCTACTTCCCAATGTTGATTTTTCCTATTGTTAGACTCTGTTGCTAGGCCTGTGCTAGTAAGCCAGAATCCTTTCCTGTCTATGACAATTTGTTTGTTTCCTTAATGTCTCTATTCTCTTATGACTCCCTTGTCTCTATCCATCACCATCCCATTGTGAGCTCTGATAGCCTGGAAACACATTCTAGTTATTGAACTAAATATTAGATATTATAGAATAAAGGTACTTTTTAAAAAATTTAGTAAACAAACTGTTTAATTGTTTCCTAATGAGTGGTCAATATTCAAAAATTAAAAGAATGACATAAAAATCCAGATTTTTGGTTTCTCCAAAAAAATCTGAAGACAAGCAACTCTGGACACATATTCCTATGTGGCAACATTCCTCTGAAGTGCAAAGTCTGCAGTCTTCTTTCAACAGGACAAGTACTGTTTGATTTGCTTCAGACTTTTATTTTACCTGACTGGCTCCTTTAGGCATTTGAGTTTTTGAAATTTGACATTTATATTTGAGTCCCAAATATGTTCAAGGTTTAAACTTTTATCTTTTTAAAGCTATGCCCCATAAAATATTAGGTAAGACATCTTTATTTAAGAAGTGGAATGGGCTGGTCACTTAACTCGGATGTTACATAGCCAAATCCAGTCCCTGATACATGAATAACACTGGGAATTTATAAAAGTGGTGAAAATAGCATTTTATTATGATGACCGTTATAAGATTAAATTTATTTTCATAAGAAGAAGCACTCTATGGTTTGAATTATAGGTATCAAATATTACTTTGATGTTCTTATTGGTACAATGAGCCTCAGAGAGTTTCTCACTAACAATGTTCAGCATCGGGTATTCTTTAGCTTTCATAGTGTGGCACATAAACTTTTAAATGAAAACACCTGAGATTTTTTATGTTGCAACACAAGAAAAAAGTACAAAGAAAAAAAGTAGGGATATATAAAAAAGAATAACAGAAAAGCCAAAAGCGCACACATAAAATCCTAGAATAGATGTTGACTTTAGCAATAAATCCATGAGGTGATCTGTATGATTAATACATCAATGTCAGGTTAGATTGCAGCCTGACATGAGCCTGAGGAGAGTCACTAACACCCTTACAGGGTAGGATCCTGGAAGTGAAGCTACAGAGTTTATCAACTTTACTCATTCTTGCATTGAGGGATAGATTTTCTCGGATAATTTCTAAGACCCATTCTAACTTGAGATTCAATTCACTTTGGGGAATTATGATTTTATTGTAAACTCATGAATTATTCAAAAAGATATGTTAGACTATGTACATGCATATATAGACGTAGATACAAAGACACTTCGAAAAACTCGAGGAAATATTTGTATTATCTTTCAATTCTATATTTCGGTGAACTTTTTGAAGTAATTGTGCACATATGTGTGTTTAGGTGTGTATAAAACAAAATACAAATTCATCTTAGAATCATCAATCATTGGAAAGATTTCCATATTAATTTGCTTATCAATATGAGTGAATTAGAGAACAGCTCATCCCTAATTTAGAATAATGTGTTGTATTCTTAACATACTTAACTTATGATATACAGGGCTCTTCTTTTTAGAATGTTAGCATCCTTTCTTATTCGTTTTTCTTCATTATATAAAATGGTGACTACTTTAAACTGTATTTCGACAACATATCCTGTATTCCCCTAAATTATTGCTTCATAATGATTATTTCCAGGACTATACACACTGTTTCGGGGACAATTCTCTATAGCATTTCTACATATCTTTTGACAGCTTTTGTTCCAGACTATTTTTTCAAGTACCCTGGAAAAATAGAGATAGATTTACCTCCACAGCAAATAGAAGATGTGTTTTCTTTCCAAAAAAAATATTTTATTATTATTTTATTTTATTTTATTTTTATCCTTCAGTGATGAAGAGCAGGTATGTTTTCTGAACGGGATAATAAAGATAATGCCTCCCTCTGGGGAAAGGTTGGACAGGTTTGCT